GTTACGTAATTACACACTGCAAACAATCAAAGGCACTTCTCATGCCAACAACAACAAAACTATCTTTAACACAAATCAATCTTTAAGCAACATTACGAACCTCATAGTTTTTCAAAAATTCTTACATCCCAAATATTTTCCATCATTACACTAACGAAAACCTGGCTAAGCCGATACTACAGATGCTATACATTCCTGGTTACACAGCCATACACAACTTTGGGGCCAGCCCAACGGGGGGTGGCACACCCAAAAACTACTAAAACCAACTAAAGTATCACAATACTTGCCAAGAAGAACAGGGGGAATATAAAATAGCCAAATTAAAACCCAAATACCTACAAAAACCTCTCACATTATAAACATCTACGAGTTCCACAGTCAAACCTTAGCCCAATTTATCAAAACCTAGGAAATATATAACTGAGCACGCATGAACAAAAATCACTTTACTACTCTCAGTGACTTTAAATAAATCTCCTGAAACCAGGGGCCCACACGTTACGAATTCACAAAAAACAATGAGTAAAAGTAGTTGCTACCCAAAAGTAAAAAAACCTACAAGAGTTACAGAACTAGTGTTTCCCCACTTACCACATCTGGACCAACCCAATCCCCTTTAAAATCAGGGATAATTACAGATAATACCACAACCCCCTACCCTACTTTCCCATAACAACTCTTGGGAAATTACCCCAAGACACACAAAGTCACCTTTAGAATTCACAATGAGGGAGCCATTAATAACTTTACAACCATTAGCAAAAAATTGATTGGCCCTGGCTAGAAATAAAACAGATATTAGAATTTATTAATAATTTTTTAAAAAACTCAATACCTCTATAAAAAGCACTGCCCTAAAAAAACAAGCAATACACTAAGAGACTAAAATCCCTGCTAACACCCACATTTTCAAATCCATAAATACAAAACACCAATATGAAAAACAGTACGAAGGGTCACATAACCAGAGACCAAACAAAAATTTTTCGTCAACCTAAACCCGCCGTAAGAAGGGCAAAAAAATTGTATTATGAAACAATTATCCAACTTACAGGTGATATAAAAAAGACCTGGAAAACCCTATCAGAAATTCTGGGAACCAAAAAAGATTCACAAATCGAAATAAAATTTGCAAAATCAGATGAACCCCAACTCCCACCACAAAACGCAAACAACCAAAGATTTCTTCTCCCTAAAGGACAAAAACCCTTTCCAAAAAACCCAAGTCAGATACCCACCAAAAAGACTCCTCAACCCCCAAAACCCAACACACGTTCCAGCTCCGACTAACCCATACGAAGTCTCCCTTATTATCAAAAGCCAAAAAACAAGGGAGGGGATTTAAATACCTTACCACCCCTTTTTAAAACAAAAAAGTGTCACATGCATCCCAAACATTTCAACACTCTTTAACAAATCCCCTTGAAACCCCACCTTCCCACATACTCAAAAAACAAGGGGCACCCCCATCCACAAAGGAGGAGACCAAACAGAGTTGAATAACTATAGGGGCCCAATATCCAATTTACACCCTCCTCAAAAATCTTCGAAAAATTAATTCATAAACGAATCACTCCTACCTTACTCCAAAACAACCAACCCCTGCCAATTTGGATTCGGGCCTAATAAAAAAACAATGATGCTTTTAACACATGCTAAACATATATACACTGCAATAAGAAAAAAAAATCCCACGGGGTTTTCATTGATTACTAAAGCTTTTGAACAGTTACCATGATTTTGCTCCACGTAAATTACACACTATGGTATAAGAGGCACTCCCTCACACCTCAAGAACCCACAACAGAACCCAATATGTTACGCAAATGGGGAAAACCCTTTTCGCACAACCAATTACATTTGGGTGTCCCACGGGGAAGTGTCCTTGGGCCCTTTCCTTTCTCCTATACATAAAGACCTACCAAATGCTTCTAAATTACTAAAACCCCACACTTTTGCTGATGACCAACATACGTTTTCTCCCACCCACCCCATCACGCAGCCAATACTGAAAACCAAATTTACAAAAATATCTACCTGGATGAACTAACAAACTTACACTAAACATTGACAAAACCTATTTCATTCAGTTTGGTAACAGAGCAAACAGATGTCCCCTTAACTAAATAAACGATCACCTATACAAACTAACAAGGGAAAATTCTAGGAATCCACCTTGATAATGCCCAAAAATTTCATACACATATACAAAAAATTTCAAAAAAATTTTTCCAAGACTGTAGGCATACTTCGAAGATACGGTACTATGCTCCACAGTCAGCCCCCTGGCCCTATACACTCTCTTATTTACCCCTATCCACCTAGGGTTTTGTGCATGGGGCTCAAAAACAATAACCATCCAGACCACTAATACCCAAAAAAAGGCTGCGTTAAAAATGATAAAAAATTCTCACACAGGCAGAAACCCCCCACCAAATTCAAACACTCAACCACCCCAAACAAAACTCCATACTTATTACTGCACCTATTACATACATAAAAACACTAAACTCGTTTTTAACCCCCCCCCAAAACATCTCCTTGCCAACCTAAAACAAAACATGCCAAACAAAAGGGCACAGATCACTCTTTAAATTTTCCCTCGTGCCATCTCACCTAGAAAAACAAAATGCACAAAAAAGGCCCAAAATCTGGAATTCATTCCCCTTAAATAAAAAAGAAACACTCCCTGTTTAAAATTCGTCCTTCCAAAGATCCCCTTACTCACCCAAAACCCAAAATAAATACTGAAAAACTAACCTTATAAATTTATATTTTAAAATGTTTCCACAATTATATCACATAAATGAAAACCTAAAACCCAATCTAACTTTATTTTTTTTTTAAATTCACTACCTAACAAATACTCCATTCTACGAATTTACAAAAAGATCAACCAATGACCTTCTTTGTAAAACTCACTTGCTTTATATAAACAGTTTACTTAATGTTTTTCACTGATTTCACATTTCTTTGTTTTAAACTTAAGTTAATTTTAAGCCCGCCCTAATGCTTTCATATATAAGGGCTTTGGCATCTGCTTTTCGTTTTTTTTGTACCCCCTGTAAGTGCTCAAATTTTAAAAAATAAATAAATAAAAAAAAGATCACACACTGCTGGCTTTTAACAGTGGCACACACTGGGAAACGCCGACGAATCATAACCGGGTTTTTTTAAAGGAACCGAGGCAAATTTTTTTTTGATAAAAGCATCGCATACCGGATTTTTCGGATACCGATAGCTCCGAACGGGGTCCCCTGTATTAAATCTTGCTTACCATTTTGGGAAATTTTTTTTCATACACAAAAAAAAAATTTCTGTTGTGCAACTACTGCAAACAGTATTTTTTATGAAAAGCCATGGGGTACAAGTACCATTCTCATCCCAAAACCCGGGGGGGTTTTATTTGAAAAAACAGAGTGAGCATGGGGTAACTGGATATACAACTCATACGCACCATAAAAATGAAACAAAAAAACTAATTTTCCCCTTCATAGATTATCACACGTAACAGCAGTGTTAAGAACCTAGGATAACCCAAAAAATCAGAAAAAGGGGTTTTTTCTAGTACCTGCTTGGGTTACCAATATGATTTTTTTTTAAATATTCGATTCCCCGCCAGGGGAAAACATTGGTGTTTTCTTTACACCTCTTGTCCCATTTCACCCATCAGTAAATAATAATAATGTAATGTCAAACCCCTATAAATAATTCACCCATAAAAAATAATGTCAACCCAGTCTTGACTCATATTGGAATTTGGACTGGGAGGCGCAGGTATTTGACGGTGACATCATATGTTTACTCTTGAGCATCGCTAAAAAATAGAACTTTTTCGCTACTGTGAGCGCAATTTCAAGGTACTTTTTGTCATGAAAGCAATCAAAATCATATCTATTTCTGTAATGTATCTTCCATTCTATCAAATAAGACCGAAAAAACGAGAATATAACCATAAAAAACATACAAAAATATACCGCTAAGCAGCAGTTAATGGCCGAGACATAAACTCCGCTATTTATAGTCTGATTTCTTTCATTTTTGGTGTACGTTAAGAAGTATCTTTCCATCATACATTGCCCAAGTTTCAATAAGATAACCCAACAAACAATTGAGAAAATAATAGTAGTAGTAGTAATAATAATAATAATAATAATAATAATAATAATAATAATAATAATAATAATACATATCTTTATTTAATACACGTACATATACACACCTAGGTATACAGACCTAGCTGACATCAGTGACATACTACGTACTATATAGAAAGCTGCTTGTTATGCTGAGTATATCAAACAAATTTGGTCAGTGTCGAAGGATAACACCCACACCAGTCAACTAACACCCAGGTACCCATTTACTGATGGATGAACATAGACAAGAGGTGTCTTATCTTTAATGGACAATGTACTGTGTAGGTGCTTTACACAACGAAAAGCATTTTTTATTCATTGGAACCATGGTTAGGGCTAAAAATAAGCAGGTTATAACAATAAATGAAGAAAAAGAAATTAGAATGACTTATGTAGTAAGTAGCGCCACCAAACAGTACCAGCAGGTTGGTGTGGCGACCCTGGAAATTTGAAATTATGCTAGCCGAAATTAGTGCCGAATAACTGAAGGAACCAAATAACTGATTGCCGGATTTGTGATGGCGGACCTATACCATGTTAATCGATGGTCTGCTGTACCTTAAAGTTGTTAGCTATTTTGGGGGTCCACTGAACATAACTCTGTTTTTCCCATATGTTCTATAGTTTTTAGATGATTTTTTATTAGAAACCATTTTCAAGAGCGTAACTGCTGTCTCAACTGATGGTCAACTGTATACACATATTTTTCTTATCTGAATTGAACTTGAGCCTTGTTGTTTTGCTTCCATAAAGCAATTTTTGCCCTATTATTTAATGCCTCAGCAATTAAAGCCATTACCACAACATACTATTTTTGTTATAAAAGCTAACATTTGTTTTATTGTTTTCTTCATGCAGGAGTTGAGATACAGCATCGCATCTTTAAAATTATTGACAGGACTGCCATGTTTGCTCGCCTTTCAAATATGTTTGGTGCAAATGATGATGAAGATCAAGCCCATGGTTCTCCTACTCGAAAATCCAACTCCAGGAATGGTAGCCAGGGAAGTGGAACACCAGTTCATGCTAGTAATGCTGCTCAGTGCCAGGTGAGTCTAATTACTTGGTTCTCATGCTTAAGTTTAGAGAAGTTTTTATATTTTGTAACTTAGGATAACCAAATAAAGCCACATGATGTTGTATTCACTGGGGTCCCTCAGGATGACCCTTCAACAGCTGATGAACACTCATGCACCAACAGCCTGACTGACCAGACTGTCAGGTAGGAGGCTTGATCTGAGTTCAGGCTAAGACGACAGTGATGCTTGGTACTATCTATAGGTACACTGCAAACATGGCCAGCTGGTGGCTCTACAAGGTAAAATAATTCTTAGCTCTTGGCTGCTATGGCAAATTTGTTTTGATGATTGGACCAATCTTACAGACTTACTTTTCCATTGATTATTTTTTCCTTGCTTAATACCCCTTGAGGGTCCAAGCTGTAGATCTACACCTTGTCCACATGGTTCAAGAATTTAAAAAAAAAATTGTTAATTTTTCTTATGAAGTGGTACACAATCTTTTTCTGGAGGTGATAAAACAAAAAATACGAAATTTGATGGGAAATTGACAAAATTATTTCATCGCGAATTTTACTGCATCAACGATATTTACGCATCGGCGATTTTGCCCTATTTTAGGCCAGTTACATTATTCCAGTTGACCAAATTCTTAGCTATTTCACTAGTATTACTTCTGTTTTATCGACTGAGCACAAGAAACTGCCCAATCAATTATTTCAACTACCCAATGAAGTGATCAGAAATTGGCCAATTTCACATAAAGTTCAAAATATTTCCATTTAAAAATAGGGTACAGAATGTACAGTGCAGGCATTCTTGGCACTAAAATAACATTTCCTTCGTTTATTAGTTATGTTTCCAGGCTTTACAGATGAATTCCATTTTGATATTTTATTTACCTAAAGAATTTTTATTCACACCAAAAAATAGAAGAATTACTCTCATGCAATATTGTAATCATTGTATAAATAATATTAGTGCTTTTTGGGGAACGTATGTTAGACCCCATTGATGTGAATTAAAACTGTGACGTCATTTGTTTACACTTAAACCATTGGCAAAAATAAAGGTATTTAAAACAACTTTGAGCTCAATTTCAAGCTATTTTGGGGGTTTTTTAAAAAAAATATTTTTTTGTAATACAACCGAAAAAGCCATGTAAAATACACCGCAAAGTTGCTTTTTTAAAATCCAATAATACGGTCGCATTTTTTTTATCCTTTTTTGTGCACATTTTACCACTAGACCATTCTTCATATCTGGGCTTAAATTTACTTAAGGGCTTATTTGATGAGCAAAGCTCATGGCAATGTTTTTTCTTTAAACCTTAATTTTTAAAACCTGTCCAAATTTGGGATTACTTTTTTATGCTAGCCCCTCCAAACGTGCCTCAATGTTTTTTTTTTCCTGTCCCCAAAATTTTGGGCACTTTTGGGGCGTGAAAATACCTTGTCAGAAAGGGAATGGCCCTTTAAAACATTTTGGGTCTTAACACTCAGTGTGTGAGTTTTTAAAAAAAATCTGGCCCCAAAATAAGTACCTTGTGGGAGCACCAAAAATTTAAAAATTGAGTGCCTGCTAGGGAAAAACAGCGTAGCAAGCCCCAGAGTTTTCCCCTGATCCCATGCCATATTAGCACTCCCCTTTTAAGGGGGGAAAGTGTTTTTGACCTTGATTTATTTGGATTAGATGGATGTGGACACAAGTGGTCAAGGAAAAAAACACTGTATAAAAAACCTTGTTAATAACCCTGTGAAAACATTTGGGGGCAACATCCTTTCAGTTTTTATGCCTCTGGTAGTATCACCCTCCAAAATGTTTTATAACCTATCCCCTAAGTAAAGAAAAACTTTGTGAAAATACAGTGGGGGCCCCACTTATATTTTCGTGCGTTTTTCTATCGCAAAACCCCTTTAAACTTACTTGCTACACTTTTAAATTCTACATTTTATGGGCGGGGCGGGCACTAAGAATTTATCGTTACCTCTGCTTTAGTATCATACATATCGTAAAATTTCAAAAAAATCTTTTCAGAAGGGCCCCATTTTTATTTATTTATTTTTTTAAAAATTTTTAGAAATCAAACAGAGGTACAAAAAAAAAAGGGTTAAGAGCACATCCCAAAAACCCAAACTTATATGCATAGCATTAGGGGCGGTTTAAAAATTAACTTAAGTTTAAACAAGGGGCAATAAATTAAATCAGTGATAAGACATTATTTTTAAACAGATAACTATAAAATACAAAGAGTTTTAAACAAAGACAGGCCCTTGGTTGCATGCATTGCTGTTCTTCGTAAATGGGTTTCTGTTAGGTGGTGTTTTAAAAAAAAAAATTAAATTTTGGGTTTTAACCCTTTTGGGTGTGATAAAATTTTTTGAGTAACATTAGGATATAAAATTTATAGGGTTCAGTTATTCATTTTTTAAATTTGGTTTTGATTGAGAAAGGGTGAACTTTGAGAAGAGACTTGAATTTAAAAAAGGGTAGTGTTTTTTTTTATTTTTTACGGGAAATTTTTTGGGAATTCCAGGTTTTAGGGCCTTTTATGTGCATTGATTTTTTGCATAGCGTGAGAGGGACACGGGGAAACAAAAAGAGTGATCTGTCCCCTTGTATTATGGTCATGTGTTCTGTTGGGGTTGCAAGGAGATTTTGAGGGGGGGGTTAATATCAAGTTAAGTGTTCTTTTGTATGTAAAAAGTGAAATTTAATAAGTAGGATTTTTGGGAATGGGAGAAAGGTTATTGTTTTGAATATTGGTGGAGTGTGCTGCCTGAGTGGAATTTTTTTAAATCTTTCTAACTGCGCCTTTTTTTGGGGTTTAATTAGTGGTCTGAAAAGGTTTATTTGGGTTTTTTAAGCCCATGCACAAATTCATAGGTGAGATAGGGGAAAATAAGAGAGTGATAAAGGGCCAGGAGGGCTGACTGTGGAAACATAGTACCGAAATCTTCGATATTATCCCTACATTTTTGGGAAATTTTCTTGAAATTTTTTGTTGTATATTGAAATAAAATTTGAGTCTTTTATCAAGGTGGTTCCTAAAAAATTTTTCCCCTCTGTTAGTTTTGGGTAAATGGGTTTATCCGTTTATCAAAGAAAAGGGGTAATTGTAGCTCTGCTACCAAACTGAATGAATAGGTTTTTGTAAAATGTTTAGTGTAAGTTTTTAGTCTTCTTCCGGGTAGATATTTTCTGTAAATTGGTGTTTACAGTATTGGTTTGGTGATTTGGGCCCTCGGGTGAGAAAGACGTATTTTGGTGTCAAAAAATTTTTGGGGGTTTTGGTAATTCAAACATTTGGTGGGTTTCATTTATGTTTAGGAGAAAAAGAAGGGGGCCAAACACTTCCCTGGGGGGACCCCAAACCCTTTTTAATTGGTTGTGGGGAAAAAGAGCTTCCCCATTTGCGTACACATATTTGGCTTCTTTGTTGAGGAAAGGGCTTGAGGTAGTTGGGGGGAAGGCCCTTTTAATACCATAGTGTGAAAATTTTTTACGTGGAGCAAGTCAGGGAAAAAACGGGATCAAAAGCTTTACGTAAGTCAATGAAATCCCCAGTGGGCTTTTTTTTTCCCTCTATTGCAGTGAAATATGTTCTAGCATGTGAAAATACATCATTATATTTTTTTTGGGCCCTAATCCAAATGGCAGGGGTTGAGAATGTTATGGGAGATGAGGAAGGAGTGGATTGGGTTTATAAATTTAAATTTTTCGAAATTTTGAAAAGAGGGGGGAAAATTGGATATTGGCCTAAAGTTATTAAAAATCTTTTTTGGTCTCCCCCTTTAGGATGGGGGCCCTTGCTATTTTGAAAAAATGTAGGGAAGGTGGGGGATTAAATGGATTTTTTAAAAAAGAGGGGTTGCAATGTTTTTGGTGATAGAAATTTGACGCTTTTTTGTATAAAAAGGGTGGTAAGGTATTTAAATTTCCTGCCTTTTTTTTTTTCAGGGGTTTTTGGGATAATAAGGGAGACTTCGTAGGGGTTAGTCGGAGTGGAAAAGTGTTTTTGGGTATTTTCCCCAGTGAGGTATCTTTTGGGGGGGTTATCTGAGTTTGGGGGATATTTTTGGGCAAGGTTTTAAACCCTATATGGAAAAAAAGGAAAAATCATTGAGTCTGTTTGCTTTTTTGTTGGTGGGGGGGGGTTGGTTCATCTGATTTTGCTAATTTTTTTTCGCTATGTCGTATATCTTTTTTTTTCCCCAAATTTTGATGGGGTTTTTCCCAGGTCTTTTTTTTTTTTCCCCTCGTAAGTTGGATAATCTTTTCTCAAAATTTACAATTTTTTTCCCCTTTTATCGGGCTGGTTAGGTTTGGGACGAGAAAACGTTTTTTTTTGGCCCCTCTGGTTATGTGACCCATTCTGTACTTTTTTTTCATATCGGTGTTTTTTTAATTTATGGTTTTGGGGGAATGCGGGTTTTCCGGGGTTTTCCTTTTAAAGCTGTCATCTTTTTTAGTTTTTTTAGGGCAGTGCTTTTTTATAAAGGAAAGGGTTTTTTTTTAGAAAATTTTAAAAACCTTTTGGCAATATTTGTAAGATTTCTAGCTCGTGTGCCAGTCATGTTTTTTTACTGCTGTTTGAAGTTTTTAAAATGGCTGCCTCATTGTAAAGGGTCTAAAGGGTGACTTTATAGTGTTTTTGGGGGTATTTTTCCCAAAGAGTTGAAATGAGGAAAGTAGGGTAGTGGTTTTTGTGGTTTTTATCTGTAATTTGCCTGTTTTAAAAAAGGGGGATAGGGGTTTTGGGTCCGGGATGTGGTCAAGTGGGAAACACTAGTTCTGTAACTTTTGGGTGGGTTTATTTTAACTTTTGTGAAAAGCAAAATCATTTAAACTCATTGTGTTTGTGAATTCAGTAACGTGGGGGTTTGGTCTTGAGGAGTTTTATATTGAAGTCACCTGAGAGTAGAAAAGTGATTTTTGTTCATGCTGCATAAATTTTATAAATACTTCCAAAGTTTTAAACAAAAAATTGGCAAATTTTGATTGTGGAATTTGTAGATGTTTATCACTGG